CCTCGTTTCTAAGCGGCATAAACGCCCTCAGTCGAAGACGAAGAAAAGGCATAGTCTCTCAACCCTGTGGTGCCAATTTGGCGGGGCAGGGAAAGAGATCCCTTTCGGGGAAACGTCCTTAAGAGACTTAGTAGGCACAATCTTAGCTAAGAAAGATATAATCAAGATGACTCAAAGAGTTAAAGGAGTAACAAAAATTACATCTGAGAAACAAAGATGTTCCATCCATGAAAAAATGGAGAGATTGCTTTTAATTTGGATAAAAGAAAGGGAAATGAAAAAAGATGTAACTAGTATGACTATCATTCAAGAGAAAGCTAGAGAAATTTTTGAAGAACTGAAGAAACAAACTCCACATTCGTCACATGAGGAGATAGAATTCAAAGCTACTACTGGATGATTTTCAAAGTTTAGAAGGAGAACTGGCATTAAACATGTGGTGATTCACGGTGAGTCTGCTAGTGCAGATAAAGAAGAAGCTGAGAAGTTCTGTCTCAAATTTGAAGAATTCATTAAAAAAGAAGGATATTGTCCACAACAGATTTTCAATTATGATGAAACTGGTTTATTTTGGAAGCGCATGCCGAACCGTACTTACATTACAAAAGAAGAGAAAAATATTCCTGGGCATAAACCCATGAAAGACCGATTGACGTTACTTTTGGGAGATAATGCTAGCAGTGATATGAAGCTTAACCTACTTCTTGTCTATCACTCTGAGAATTCTAGAGCATTCAAAAAAATTCCGTAATTAAAGAAAAACTGCCAGTGATGTGGAGATTGAATAAAAGGGCATGGGTCACGCAGACTCTTTTTAAAAAATGGCTGTTTGAAGTTTGTGTTCCAAGCATCAAAGATTACTTTCAGACCAATAATTGCCATTGAAACAATTGGACAATGCACCAGGACATGCAAAAGACCTTGAAGCTAATTTGCTGGAAGACTTTCCCTAGCTGACAGTTCAGTTTCTACCTCTGAATACCACTTTGTTGATTCAACCAATGGATCAAGAGGTTATTGCAGGTTTCAAGAAATTGTATATTCAAGCACTGTTTCATAGTGTTTTGAAGCATGCCAGTTCTTTTCAACGGTGACATTAAAAACGTTTTGGAAAGAAAAATTTGATATTCTTGAAGCTATATGGCTCATTCAAAAGGCGTGGTCAGAAGTCACTCAACGACAGTTGAATTCTGCTTGGCAAAAGCTGTCCCCCCTGCATTCAGGGAGATGGAGATGATGTCCCTGAAATTATGGATTAAATTGTGACAACTGTTAGAGATATGGAATTGGAGGTGAATGAAGATGACATTGAAGAGCTCATAATGGAACCTGAAGCTGGATCTGATGACAGAAGAACTCCAAGAACTCTTGAATGAAGAACACCGAGAAACTCAGCGAAATGTGTTTTCTGAAAAAAAAGGAAGACGAATGAGGGTCAAAATGCCACATCTGCTATTAAAGATCTTTTGAAGAAGTGGGAGGATGTCAGAACAACAATCTTAGAATGGCATCCAAACCAGATTGAGGTTAATAGGCTTGAGGATCTCTATGATGAAAATGCTATTAATTACTTCCGAAAAATCCAGAAGAAGAGAGAAAAGCAATTGACATTGTACAGATTCTTTAATGTCTCACAAACAGAAAAACAATATGACCGATAAACATGCAAGACTGTGTATACAGTTGACCTCCCCTACAGCAATGTTGATTATTCCGTTTTATATGAATTCCATGTTGTACAAATCACTTAGATTTTACAAATACGTGAACCGTTCACAGCCCAGCACACGTATTTATAAAATCTAAGTGACTCATACAATATGGAATTCATATAAAACAGAATAATCAACAGTGTTATAGGGGGTTGACTGTATATGTATTTTTATTATTACATATAAATATAGTAAGAAAGTATATAATTTTTTATTTATTTTTTTGGGGTCTCCAGAACAAATTAATCAAATTTCCATAAAAATCAATGGTAAATTGATAATCAGTTAATGAACAATTTGGATAGCAAACAGAGTCTTGGAACAGATTATGTTCATTAACCAATCACCCACTGATAAACAAATACACACATCAGCCGAAACTCGATAATAAGCAAATATACACCTACCACTGCTGTAAGTGATCAGGCTGAAATTTGGATATAATCATTATATCCAGATTTCAGCCCAATCATTTATGGCAGTAGTTGGTGTATAATCACCCACTGTATTGCAAAAAATGTGTGTGGAATAGTGTGGGTTACTTCTTGCTTTATTTTCAATTTTGTCCTTAGCTAACAGAGATTGTTCATCCAATAAGTTGACAAGAGAATAAAATTTTCTTAGAACTATATAATGACATGTAATATGCAATCCACCTAGTTGTATGATTGACACTATGTGCAAATAGTCTTGGCATAAAAATTTCAGAAGATAAACAAATATTTGTTTATCCTCTGAAATTGTTTATTATCAGGACTAGTTAGATATCAATAGACAGGGACATTTGACTGGATACAGCCGGTCTTTTTGTCATTTACATCATAACTCTTTTGGATGGGCTGACATGGAGATGCTTTGAATAAGGGAAAGAAATTGGCTTTTAGATTTTTATGCCAGGATTGGGGGTCACATCAGTCTACCTCACCATCATTGAATGGTGAAGTGAGATTGATCCACATTATGCTTAGAAAGACTTGAAAAAGTATTAGACAATCTTTAAGGAATTTTTATTCCAAGTGTTTCTCTTATGTCCTGCTTGGAAGAAAAGACTCAGCAGGCAATTAGTTAGATATCTTGTACAGATGCAAATAGACTTAGGCACTTCCTCCACTGATACTTAATTATAAAATGTCTTGAATCTTTTCAGTACAATGCAAAGCACAGAAAGGGGTCGAAGGCTGAACCGGATGGTATCAGGGACAGGAAAAGTGGTATCACAGACTGGAAGAGCTGTGGGTAAGTCCTCTCAGCAAATTTTTCAGTTTTAATGGATATTGATATTTTTCCTTTCTTTTCATTTGTATCTCTTCCACTTGACAAAAAAATGAGTTCTTGGAAAAGACCCTCCAAATGAAGGGTGTGTTTTCCAGGAACTTTTGCATGAACCAATCCTTCTTTTTATTGGGAAGCATCAACAGTCAGTTTCAACATTCCCTTCTCACTCGATTTCTTTCGCAGGAGGAGCCATCTCTGGAGCAAGATCAGCCGTCTCTNCAGGATTTTTTTCTTCATGCGAAGACATTTCTTATGGTATAAGTAGGGTGGGTATTATGACAATGACTTTGAATATTACGTAACCGATCGCTCGATTTGTTGTCCCCTGGACGTGCTGCCCGCATGCAGTGCACACCTTGCACGCCCACTTACGGTGGGCCTGGTCCACATTGTACTGTAAACATCACCAAATTGTAAACATGTACATTTACAAGTATTGTACTGTATGTACATGAATTTGTAAATTTAGATTACTTGTTTTCTGTACTATATTAAAACCTAAAATTTATTTGTTTGTAAGCTTAAAATATATTCTTATTAGCCATATATTATTAAAAATTCATTTATCAATAAAATACAGAACTGGGAATGGTTATTTGTGGTTTAGCATAGTGACAAGTAAATTTGACTTATGTCACCTCTCCTGGAACAAATTACCAACGTAAAGTGAGGTATACTTGTATAGAATACCTATACAAGATGAAAGACTGCAAAATGAGCTGTACTACATTGGAGCCACAGGAAGGTCATTAAAAGAAAGATAAAAGAGTATTAAAGGAACATATGAAATGCACTAGCGATTTATGTTATAGCAAACCCAACAGAGGTTACAGTGGAGTGGGAAAGAGCAGTAGTAATACGAAAGATTCAGGACAGGAGACACCTTAAATATACAGAAGCATGACATATACATAAGAACAAACAAGCAGGACAAGCAATAAACTTTAGAGAATCGTATAAAGTCTCTGCAGCGTGGAGACCAGGTGTAATATGAATATATCAGTAAAAAAAAAGGCATGGACAGTTAAAGAAATAGGCACAGTTGTTGCTTTTTATCTTATCAGTTAGGTTAATTTATTAATTTATTTTTATTTTTTATGTTTAGTTTATTTATTTGTTTGTATGTAATTTGCATTTTAATTACTTATTTACATATTGATAATGGACTTGTGCACTTGACATTAAGAAAGTTTAATAGTTTAAAAACGTTCCAAAATAGGTTTTGTTCTGTAGAAATCAGAATCTTTTGATTCTTTCCTGAAGATCAGTCAACTGGCCAAAAGCATCAGAAGATTTAATAAAAAGACCGCATATTAAAAGGTTTTTAAGGTTTGGTTGTTTGTAAATGCAGTTAGAGAAGAGAGTTAGAAAATTTTTTAAAAACTGGTTTGTTGAAAATAACTTGTAAAAAACAATTTAGCACTAGTAACATATATACAAGTACTACAGTATATATGCAGTATACCTTAAAATTGTTTTATCTCATATGTAAAATATAATATTTAAAGCTTGTTATAAAACAATTACATTTTCTCTGGTTTTAGCTATTTCTGTCAATATATCCATAATTTGATATTATTATATCATCATCCAATAGATAAACATTAACATTATAAAAATATCTTTTAAGTAAATTTTAAATTTATGTAAATTTAAGATTGAAAATCTTAAATTTTAAATTAAGATTGTAAATCTTAAACTTATGGAAATTTAAAATTTACTTAAAAATTATTATATTTTCTTTTGTTTTGTATTAATTTATCTTCTGAATATTAATTAAATGATAAATATTATTTGGCTTCTTAAGAAGTTATTTGATTGTTTAAGTGAAAATTATAGTAGATATGTTAAATTCTATAACTTGACAAAATCTTAAATATTTAATATCTAATTTAGAATTGATATATTTTCTGTTATTCTTTGTGTATGTTATTATTTTGTTCTTAAATAAATTTTTAATTTAATCTTTAGATATCCATTTTAATATAAAGTAAATGCATATTTAATTTTTAGAAGAAACTAGAGATGAAGATAAATACTTTTCTTTAAAATTTACATCTATAAAAAGAAATTTGTCTCTCACATCCTTAGAAGAAGATACACACAACATTTTCACTCAGAAGTATCATTCTTCTAAAATTCACAAAAAAGATGATGATGATGATTATGAAATGCCAAAATATAAATTTGAGTCATTGTGTTTTGAAAATGTATCTAAAGATGAATTTGTAAAAGAAATATTAATGCTTGATTTAGTAAAAGAAGAAGAAGAAAAATTAAAGGTATGATAGTTTTTCCAATTGTATATTTTATATATAAGTAAGTAATAATGTTTTAACACTTTTACAAACAAGGTGTCTATAACTAAAGTTCACATATTCTGAGCAGTATTATAATCAAAATACATTAGTGATTATTTACTAAATATACTAATTACTTAGCACTATTGAATAAATAAATTGTAACACTATTTCTCACAGATTTTGTTTAGGATTTATTTAAAATTTAGCAAAATCAATGATCATTAGCAATTTTCAATTTCTTAAGATCATTATCATCATTATTTAATATATTTCAGAATTTGTCATTTATTAAAGGATCAGTACAGGTTATCTCAGAAAACTTTCTATATTCAATATTTTGAAAAGATATTAAATATAGAATCTTCATTAACATGAACATGTTTAACACATTGACTACCCAACTATGAGACAACTTGTAGTTTGCGTTATTTCCTAGGATGCCACCTACAAGTTATTTGTGCAGCTACGATGAAATTCATAGTATATCAGTGTAAATATGAATAGATTGCCTCGGGGCAAGAACAAAAAATCAAGGTTGGCTTACATGAACAGAACATTTATTAATAAATGAACAGAAAATATAATCATAAAAAGTTTATTCAAAAGCAAAAGCATATTTTTATTGTTTTGTGATAATTTTTAAAACAATCTTCCACACAAATGGCTGGCAGATTGGACAGAATTAACACGTTTCTCGGCTTTTTTTAGCTTTGATACAAATTTGACATAACTTTCAGATGCTGTGTTTTTTTTTTTTTTTTTTGGTAGGTGGGATATTTTGTAAATAATGAAGCTCTTGCAATTTAATTTTTTTTGAAACTGGTTGAATCTCTTCTCCAATCAATGTATTGATGAATGCTTCTCTAAACTTTATAAGTTTTATTTTAGAAGAAGTTGCTTTTTGAAAAAGTTTGTGTGCATTGTATATATATATATCTCTATAATATGTAATGCAACCTTTTTGGGCCATCTAATAGTTTTTCTTATACCCTGTTTGCACACAATCCATGACTCACTTTGATCTTGATTTATCTACAATTTCAATTCTGACTGTCACTAGTCAAATGTCATGCTGTTCGCACAGGCAGTCCACTTGAGAAGAACCCGGCTATTACACATGATGACAAAACTGACATAACTACGCATTTAGTCATGAACACCAACAAACAAAATGGAAGTTTTGATTAGAAATAAATACTTTTTCTTGCCATATATCTAATAATAGACAGAGGTCATCGTTTCTTCAGTTGTCTTTTTTATTTCTCTGTTAATAGCAGGGCTGTGGAGTTGGAGTCGTGGAGTTTTGGTGTTTTAGCCAGAGTTGGAGCCGTCAAAAAATCCACCGACTCCGACTCCCTTTTACTTGCCAACTTGTTATGTATATGAAACGGAGTCGGATGGTAAAGAAAAGTTGGAGTTGGACACTACAGCCCTGGTTAATAGCCCAACACGTGTTCTGTAGCCATCTTGTATTTTCTCATGCACGTGGGATTGTGGGATCTCTCTTATGACTGGATCTAGTTTCAAGAACTCTCTTGAGTCAATTGCAATTGAACCTCATTTCAGTCAAGATTGAAGAGAGGTCGCACCATGGCATAGTTGCNCTCACTGAGGCTTTCTGCCGAGGGGCCGACCAAGTCGACTGGTCTCGGCCACCTGAACAAGTACTTCGAACGCTAACAGCTAGTAAAGGAAACTTAAAGAAACTAAAGGAATTGATGGAAATGGTCATAAACTTATGATCTATGTGCCTCGTTTCTAAGCAGCATCTATAAAAGATGTGTGGAGCGAGTTGTCTGCTATGCCTGTGGAGTTTGGTGGAACGACACTGCCAATGTCAAAATGAGCAGGACGCTGCTCACAATCCAAAGGCCCGCTGCCCTGCGGATCACGAGAGCTTACAGATCTGTGTCTACGGATGCGGCCCTGGTCTTGGCCAGGCTGCTCCTGCTGCCCTTGGTAGTCAGCCAAGAGGCGGCCTTCTACAGAACTACAGTAGAAGGATTACAGTCAACGCATTGTAATCAGAAGTACCCAGTCAGGCTTAGGCATAGAATAGATGTTTTCAAAGTCCATCCGGCCCAATGGATTGGACTCGGCTGGGAAGTCGGTGAACCGACTGGTACGGGTGTTGAAATATACACCGATGGCTCAAAAGACGGCAGCGTAGTAGGTGCCGCATTCTGCGTCTTCTGTAATGGAGTGCAAGTGTACGAACAGTCAGTCAGACTGAATGAGGAGGCGTCCGTGTTCCAGGCAGAACTGGTGGCCTTGGTGAGGGCGTCCCAGTGGATCCTATTACATCCGGGTCCAGAGCCGGTCACGGTTTACTCTGATAGCCAGTCGTAGCTACAGGCTTTGAACGATGGGTACCATCGCGATTCGCTGGTACACGAGATCAGATGCAAGGTGCTGAGGGCAAGGCACGAGCGACAAGTTACCCTGTGTTGTGTCCGAGGCCACACCGGGATTTTGGGTAACGAGCGTGCCGATCAACTAGCAAAGGCGGGAACTAGCAGTCCTTTTATAACGAGGACGGTTGAACCCTCGGCTGTTTATATCAAAGGTACCTTGCGGAAACGATCGATGACCATCTGGCAAGAGTGCTGGAATCAAAGTACAGTAGGTAGGTCAACTTATGCCTTCCTGCCTGTAGTTGGCCTCACTCCGGTGTGCTGCAATAGGCTCACGACTCAAATACTGACCAGCCACAGGAAGTTTCCCCACTTCCAGTCTCGTTTCGGGCAAGGAGATGGTAGCTGCTCCTGTGGGAGTTCTTGCGGAGATGCAAGACACTATACTTGACTGTCCTCTCACTGAGGCTTTCTGCCGAGGGGCCGACCAAGTCGACTGGTCTCGGCCACCTGAACAAGTACTTCGAACGCTAACAGCTAGTAAAGGAAACTTAAAGAAACTAAAGGAATTGATGGAAATGGTCATAAACTTATGATCTATGTGCTTCGTTTCTAAGCGGCATAAACGCCCTCAGTCGAAGACGAAGAAAAGGCATAGTCTCTCAACCCTGTGTTGCCAATTTGGCGGGGCAGGGAAAGAGATCCCTTTCGGGGAAACGTCCTTAAGAGACTTAGTAGGCACAATCTTAGCTAAGAAAGATATAATCAAGATGACTCAAAGAGTTAAAGGAGTAACAAAAATTACATCTGAGAAACAAAGATGTTCCATCCATGAAAAAATGGAGAGATTGCTTTTAATTTGGATAAAAGAAAGGGAAATGAAAAAAGATGTAACTAGTATGACTATCATTCAAGAGAAAGCTAGAGAAATTTTTGAAGAACTGAAGAAACAAACTCCACATTCGTCACATGAGGAGATAGAATTCAAAGCTACTACTGGATGATTTTCAAAGTTTAGAAGGAGAACTGGCATTAAACATGTGGTGATTCACGGTGAGTCTGCTAGTGCAGATAAAGAAGAAGCTGAGAAGTTCTGTCTCAAATTTGAAGAATTCATTAAAAAAGAAGGATATTGTCCACAACAGATTTTCAATTATGATGAAACTGGTTTATTTTGGAAGCGCATGCCGAACCGTACTTACGTTACAAAAGAAGAGAAAAATATTCCTGGGCATAAACCCATGAAAGACCGATTGACGTTACTTTTGGGAGATAATGCTAGCAGTGATATGAAGCTTAACCTACTTCTTGTCTATCACTCTGAGAATTCTAGAGCATTCAAAAAAATTCCGTAATTAAAGAAAAACTGCCAGTGATGTGGAGATTGAATAAAAGGGCATGGGTCACGCAGACTCTTTTTAAAAAATGGCTGTTTGAAGTTTGTGTTCCAAGCATCAAAGATTACTTTCAGACCAATAATTGCCATTGAAACAATTGGACAATGCACCAGGACATGCAAAAGACCTTGAAGCTAATTTGCTGGAAGACTTTCCCTAGCTGACAGTTCAGTTTCTACCTCTGAATACCACTTTGTTGATTCAACCAATGGATCAAGAGGTTATTGCAGGTTTCAAGAAATTGTATATTCAAGCACTGTTTCATAGTGTTTTGAAGCATGCCAGTTCTTTTCAACGGTGACATTAAAAACGTTTTGGAAAGAAAAATTTGATATTCTTGAAGCAATACGGCTCATTCAAAAGGCACGATCAGAAGTCACTCAACGACAGTTGAATTCTGCTTGGTGAAAGCTGTGTTCCTCTTGCATTCAGGGAGAGAGAGATGATGTCCCTGAAATTATGGATGAAATTGTGACAACTGCTAGAGATCTGGAATTGGAAGTGATTAAAATGACATTGAAGAGCTCATAATGGAATCTGAAATTGATCTGACGACAGAACTCCAAGAATGCTTAAATGAACACCGAGAAACTCAGCTAGATGTGTTTTCTTCTGAAAAAGAGGAAGATGAAGAAGGATCAATGGCAACATCTGCTATTAAAGATGTTTTGAAGAAGTGGAAAGTTGTCAGAACAACGGTCTTAGAATGGCATCCAAACCAAATTGAGGTTAATAGGTTTGGGGATCTCCATGATGACATTGCTATTAATTACTTCCAAAAAATCCTGAAAAAGAGAGAAAAGCAATCGTCATTGGACAGATTTTTTAACCCCTACAAACGGAAAAAACATGACTAATAAAAATGCATGACTATGTATATTTGTATTTTTATTATTACATATAAATGAACATAGTAAGAAAGTATATATAGAATATAGGAACTTTTGATTTGGAATGGATGTCACATTATTTCAATTCAAAATTTCCCCTGAACGAATTTAGATAGTTGACCTGCACGACTCTATTGCTAACAGAAAAAATATGATGTACGAGGGCAAAACCACCACTAAAAAAATTGAGAGCATTGTGATGAAAAGTTTCAGCTTGGCATTGTGACAATATCACAGTAAATAATCACTCATTAGAATTAGTTTAGTTTATTTGGTTACTACGTGTCATGTTACATGACATGTTGACATGAGCAGTCTGCTGGGGAATCCCAGCAGATTGCATGAGCATTCCAGGAAAATTTTTGTGGGAAGCTGGACCCTATTTAGATGAAGAAAACCTGAAAAACTCTGTGGCCTGCCTGTTTGCAATACCCAAAACCACAACTAATTAACTATCAGAGTTTGGTAGTTTTATGCACTCTACTACTGGAGGGCATTTATTAGAATTAAGAACGTACTGTTCAGAAATGAAAAAACCCAAGTCGTTAGATGCAGAAAATTAAATACCTACAGGGTAACACTTTCAATTGCATACATGCAAGTGCTATATGCTATTGATTGCAGTAATTATATAGTGAGTCTATTCCACACTTTATCATTGTTGCAGTAATTATATCATTGCAGTAATTGCTTAATTACTGCAATGATATAATTTTATATAATATTTAATATATACATATTTTAAAATTATATCAATTTTTATAAAGATTACAGTATAGTTAGTTTTATTATTTTGTTAAATTTTTTGCCAGTAGATGACACTACATGTAAATCAGTAAATCTAATGTAAATAGAAATGAATTGATTTACAGAAACCCAATAGATATTTTGGGGTCAGATGTACAACATTATCTAAGTTAGGGCTATAAACGTAACTGGTGAGTTTCGTAGCAATTGGTTGAACTGCCTAGAATTGTATAGCGAACAGACAAACCGACATTCTTATTTATATATATAGATATAGATGTAGGGGTCGCTCTGGAATTTACCAACCATTTCTCCAGTTATAAATATTTTTCACCACTTCTAATTATTTATTGCCATCAGTTTTATTTACTAACTAGCATCCCTGTCGTGGCCTCGTCCACTCTTATATACATATAGAACTTCAAAAATTTGAACTAATTGTTCATTAATTATTTTTGGGTGATCAATGTCTAGTATTGCAGTAGAGTTTTGCAAAATATAAAAAAAATAAAATCATAAAATATCTGAATAAGTTATATTTTGAATTTTGTCACCTGTTCATATCAAAATTATTTGATTGTTATGATTTCCAGTTCTGGAAAGCTCTACATACAATTGGCCATGGGAGAAACTCTCCATACAAAGATCCACTCCAACACATTGGAATGTTTGGCCTTGCAATTTGTTAATTGTAATAGCAAAAGAAACTTTAATTGGAAATTGTAAGCATTTAAATTTAAATGGTAGATCAGTAGGAACCATTGGGATTCTAGAAATAAATGCCCCAATTTCCCCAGTCGCTGGTCCAGTGAAAATTATAGCTTCAATGATATTGTCGCACATAACTGTAATTTGTAACTTGATACCATTACAGGGATTGGGAAAATGAACATTACATAACAACATAATTGGAGAACCAATTTTTAATTTTAATTTATGTGGTGAGAATCCAGATGGGCTGAGAACATTAAGAAACTCTTGTGGATAATGGACTGCATCATCAGTGCTTAAAACTGTATCAATCAATAGATAATCTCGGTTGTTACCATTGACTTTTTCAAGAATAATGTTATTTATTTCTTCTGCCATTATATTTCTAGGTGAAATTATGGCTCTTTCACACAACCAAAGATATGGTTTATTCAATAAATCTGAAATATCAGGATAAATTTCAGAAATCAAATCATTGACTGTACTCACTATCTTACCTATGTTTTGACTGACAGTGATGTAGTCATTTTCGTTGTCTACTGTTCCGTCACCAATTTTCAGTAACTGTTTCAGAAATGGGGGATCTCCTCCTACAAGATGAGCTCTCATGTTCATACACAAATTGAGTTTTTCAATACTATTCCAAATACGTAAATACTTTAAGCATGCTTTTATTGTATCAGCTGTTGTACCTTTTGAAATCACAGGTAAAGTCTGCAGAAAATCTCCAGCAAAAACAAAGGTTATACCATCCATCAGTCTATTATTCGATCTAAGATCTTGTAAAAATCGATCAACAGCTTCAATATGAGCCCTATGACTCACCGTACACTCATCCCAGATTATAAATAATATTTCTCAGAGAATTTTTCAAAAGTGGGCCATTTTTACAGATCAGACAAATGGATTCTCCATCAAAAATACATTCAATGGTAATTTGAAAGTCAAGTGAGCAGTCCTGCCTCCATTGAGAAGCGTTGCTGTGATTCATGAGGATGCTACAGCCAGTGCTGTACCTCCTGCCAATCTCACTTTAGCCAACAGTAAATTAATCAAAAAGGTTTTCCCAGTTCCACCGGGAGCATCCACAAAAAATACTTTGCCTCAATTATTGATCACACTATCCATAATAACATTGAATGTGTATCTCTGATCATTGACCAATTTTGGTAGATTTAACTGCCACAAAAATTATGTGATTCGTGTATGTCATAAGGATGCCTGAAAAGAGAGTTATAAGGATCATTAGAATTTTGATTATCCCTGATAGGTGAAGCCTAACCGAATTCATGTAAATATTTTTCAGATAGACAGACCACCATATTCTCTATTTCAATCAAACCTTGATTGAAAATCTCTTCAGAGAACATCAATTCATAGTTTTTTAATCAATTTTGTTCTCGATGAAGAATATCTTGGCAAAAATTTGTTCAAAATGTTTCCCATAGAATTATAGGTTCAGATGGTTGACAGAAAACTAAAATAATAGCAAATAAATTTCTCATCTTCCAAGCATTTTTTGATATGATGGCATCAGAGTGTGTGTCTTTCCAATGATTATCATTCTCTAACAGGCCTAGTGCATTACATGTGGCTTTGAAAGTAGGATGAACAATACCATTGACGGTCTTTAAACTCTTGAATGAAGTTGGGCCTCAAATGTGATGTAATAACATCCTCAGATGAAAACATTCGCCTTGATTAGGATGAATAGTGTAAACTCTACCAAGTTCTGTATGTCTTTTGATTCCAGAATAGCCTTCAACATCTAGTCCTTGTTTCCTTCAAGAAAATCTATTATTCAACCAAGTATAATACCCTGGAACCTTGTGATATAAAAGTGTTCTAGTAAAATCATTTGATGAACATAGATAAAAAAAAAAAGTGGTCAGTGTTGTTTTCCATGGATTATTGATGACTTGATGAATATTATCCTCAGTGAAGTAAACTGTTTGATTATTTTCAAGATGTACAGCTAAATGGATCACAGCTGGAAATCTTTCATGAATAGAAAAATCAAAGAATTGCCAAAATGTTTTTGAAGAACATATGTAACAACCATTGATATAGTTGCTTATTTCATCATTCTCATCTTGAACAGAAAATGTGGCTTGATCAGAGCCTTTATTCACATACTACTTGTGTTACCTGTCATTGACAGGAGATATTTATTTGGTGAAATTATGTTTACTTAACTAAAGAGTATATCTGCAGAGAATTGTGTTACAGATTCATTATATTCTTATTAAAGATGTGGAATATTTTGTAGATAAACTTATTGAATAACCTCCCGATATACCAGGTGTATAAGCTTAAATCCGCTGTTTGCTAATAGATGGCGTAAGCGAGCGTATTAAGTTACCATGATGACACCATATTGTTTTTTTGATGATTTTGATGTCTGTCAACATTAATCAGTGCACATCATCAGATATTTCATACAACAACATATATTTTTTTTTGTAATCATGTCTACTTTTGTGCCAGAAAAAGAGCATATGCGGCAAGCTTTGCTTTTCTGCTTTAATTTGAAGAAATTGGCTGCCGAAGCACGTCAAATGCTTGTGGAGGCTTATGGAGACGGACCTTTATCGGAAACCACGTGCAGAGATTGGTTTTGTCAGTTCAAAGATGGAAATTTTACCTGAGCAACAAGAAGCGTGAAAATCGGTCCAAGAAGGTTGAGGACCATCAACTGCAGGCTCTTTTGGATGAGGACGATACCCAATCGCAAAAAATGCTTGCCGAGCAATTGGGTGTTACTCAACCAGCCATTTCCATGCGTCTACGTGCCATGGGAAAGATTCAGAAGATCAGAAAATGGGTGCTGCATGAGTTGAACGATAGGCAGATGGAGCGATGCCAAAACACATGCGAAATCTTGCTCGCCAGACAAAAAAGAAAATCATTTCTGCATCGGATTGTAACTGGCAATGAGAAATGCATATATTTTGAGAATCCTAAACGCAAGAAATCGTGGGTTGATCCAGGCAAGCCATCAACATCTTTCCCAAGACCAAATCGCTTTGGACGGAAGACAATGCTGTGCGTTTGGTAGGATCAGCAGGGTATTGTCTACTATGAGCTGTTGAAACCTGGTGAAACTGGCAATGCTCACCACTACCACCAACAACTGATCAAATTGCACTGTGCTCTGCGTGAAAAAAGGCCGGATTATCAGCAAAGACACGACAAGCTGATTTTCCTCCACGACAATGCACCATCGCATGTGTCAACATTGGTCCGAAACTACTTGGAGACACTCAACTGGGAGGTGCTACCCCATCCCACTTATTCACCAGACCTGGCCCCTTCCGACTATCACCTCTTTTCATCAATGGGCCACGCGCTTACTGAGCGGCACTTCGATTCTTACGAATACGTCCGAAAATGGCTTGATGAGTGGTTTGCCTCGAAAGAGAGGAAATTTTTTTGGCATGGTATCCACACATTGCCCGAGAGATGGAACAAATGTGTCACTAGTGAGGGAAAGTACTTTGAATAAATTTGTTTTTGCTTTCTAAGAAAAAAACGTGTGTTTTTCTGACTAAAAAACAGCAGATTTAAGCTTATACACCTATGTACAACATTTTGTGTTTTATCATCAGGAGAACAAATGAACAGATTTGCAGCTGCAACATAGAGTTGGCCATGTGAAAAGCAACTGCATCCCAGGTCAAGTCCCACAACTATCAGGCTTTGGCCTTGAGACTTGTTAATGGTCATTGCAAAGCATAGACCAACTGGAAATTTTAGGCGTTTACATTCGAATGGGTAGTTTGTCGGGATTAATGGTATGCTATTAAATGATATATCAGTCCTTCAGTTTTGAATGTTGGCATGAAATTTCTTTCAAGTGTAAAGTACTATTTTATTTTTCCGACTTTTTCAACGATTATTGACACAACTGTGTGCCGGAAATAGCTGTTCCCTAACGGGTACTTTACGCGGATTCGCGTTAGTTTGCCAGGCCTGGACTTTTAGCGTGCACCAAAATTAAATAATGACAAAGTTTGTCAATAACAAATCAAATATTTAATTAAAAGTTTTAGTAATAAACTATATACAAAATTTATTAAAAATCAAACAACAATTTATTCAATGAAACTCAATAAGAATCAAAGCTCAAATCAATCTAGTTTCTAACTTAATTCTATTCCCCTTTGGAATTCGACAAAAATTCAAAGATTTAACTTATATACAATAATTCTTATGAATTAAAGATCATAATCGTCACCTCAATATACTAGGAACCTATTTCCTCAATTCTCAAGACTATCTCTATTTGTCGATCCACAAATCGAATAACTTCAAAATCGCCTTGGAACTATTTGATCCTATCGGACATCTCTCTCGTTTACTGCTACGAAGCTCACCAAGCTCATTGCTAACTGGAGTTCACCTCATTTCTCTTCACTTGACATTCGGACTTTATACTGTGAGGTGACGTCACAATTTTGAATGTGATCACTCCCCTCATTTACATATTTATTTGCTAACAATAAACTTTTTCTATTTGTCTGGCAGCCTATTTTCCGACAATACTCGCTAACCTTTTACATTATTCTTTTTGACAATTTTTGGGATGTTTTTATTCTTTAAGGTTTAGCGAGCCCCTAAGTTGTGCTTGTGGGGTCTCCCCTTTTCTCGGTGCGGACTTTCTTTTTTACGGGAGTGCAAGTGTGCGCAAGTTTTTTCTATGGCGCTTTTTTCTCGTTTGTGAGTTGGTTTCTCTTCTATTTTTAAGTTTCTAAGGTGAATGGCAAGGAAATCTTCATCCTAACAAAACATAAGCCCCAAACAAAAATATAATAAAAAGCAAAAATAAAAGTAAATAAAAATAATGCTCGGACTTGGTTCCTTACACAAGTATTTCAGTGACACCAAATACTTGTCATTTGGAAGGCTTTATTGTGCTTTAAAAAATGATTAGTGTCAGGATGAGTCCCATTTAATAGTGATAGAAAAAGTTTGGGGGCAAGTACATCATCCAGTTTAACTTTGCCAGAAGAGCATCAAATCCCCTGTGATTCATTCTTTGACTTCACAGTACTGCAATACCTACATACTTTATCTATAGAACTAATATTAGTTGATGATGAATAGTCTGAGTGTCATAAATGAAAGAACTTCAGAGTTTTTGTGCCAAGGATTTGTCATTTTTGAGTAGACATAATCTTCGGTCACACAAATAAATAAAACTCGTGCAAATACAGCTAGGCCTAACGAATCACAAACAATATGTAGCGATTTGAAAACCCGCCATATGTACACATACTGCCATCTAACATGATGATGTCATTTTTTTAATGCCTCAAAATTCCCTTAGGCTTCAAAAGGGGTTTTAGGCCACCTGTTAATCTGAGGTAAAATATTTTATCTCTGGCTAGAAACGAATGTGTGACCAGAGGGTCAGCATCTCTTTTATGCCTTGTCAGGACTGACAACATGTGTCTCTGTTGACATGGAAGCTCTGTTGACATCGCTTGGTCACAGAAGCGATGGTAGGTGACAGAGCTGCAATGACTGGAGCGGTCTGCGAGACACAACACAAATTTTAGCAGGCATGACTTCAGGCTTAATCCAGATGAAGACGACACAGATTAATCACCATAGAATTTTTAGGAAAACTGTGTTTTGACCTTGAGATTCGGGGTTATTATAGTATTTCTTCCTTGAATCTCACCTTACGATTAGTCCTACGTCCCATTCTTCACTTTCCGATTGTTTTCTTCTTTGTCTCCAGGTGAAAACTGAAATCACATCAGGTCACGAGAAAGGTTTGTTCCGAGGTGTTTATTTGACACCTGTTCATTGACTCTTATTGGAGATTGTTGATAAACCCTATAAGCCTTTTGCTCATAATTTAGCCTATTGTTTCTGCTGTCTGTCATTTTAGAACTTTAATGATCGTATGCAACGTTTTTATACCTGTCAAATCGTTCCCCTTTTCCGAAAATTTAACCTAGATCAAATGTTTATGACCACTTCTGTCATAGTTTCATCTTATCCGCAGACATTCCACCTGATCCATTACATCATTTGTTTTCGTGTCGCATTTGTTTTGACAACTACAGTACAGTTTTTTTCCTTACTTCTCCCTGAACTTTGGTCCGACTTAACAATAGTGTTTTCGTTTTTAACATGTGGATATTAAATTATATTGGGTTGATGCAAAAGTTTGTACCTTTTTTTTAAAAGAATCAAAGAAAACCCATTTTACAAATAAAATTACAAAAATACTGACGGCTAGAACAGATTAATTGTATTTGCATTAATTTCTATGGGAAAAATTGCTTCTGTTAACGAACAATTTGGTTAACGAACAGACTCATGGAATGGATTACGTTCATTAACCGGGGTTACACTGTAAGACAATGGTAAATTTTAGAGGGGAAAAAAATAAACGAATTAATAATAATCAATTTTTTTCCAATCTTTTGTTTTACTTCTTTAATTTTAGATTCATTTTATTATAAAAATCATTAATATTTTTTACTTATTTAATATCTATTTCAATGTATTTTATTTTATTGCAGACACAGATTGAAATTTATAGTACTACTTCTCAGTATTTGTCTCCTCTTCAATGAATGGCTTATTTATCATATTTTACCATTAATAAAATGGCCTAAATTGTCAAAATTACCCCTATCAAGTGATGAGTTAAAGATATTACTAATTGGTGATCCACAACTTCTTGGTGATTATTTTACTGGATCGTCTTTACTTGGTCATATATCTCAATGGGATTCTGACAGGTGTGAATAAAAAAATCTTTTAATTCAATACTTTTACATTTTAAAAATTATTAACAATATTTTATAGAGAATATATTTTTCTCATTCCAGGTATAGTAGTTGCATCAAAAACATGTTAATAAAAAGGAAATGAGATTTATTGTTTTATTTCAGACTTGTTATGATGATGAGTTTATAAGATTGCATTGTAAATAATCAAAAATTGAAGTAACAAAATAGAAAATTATATATCTTAAATATAAATAAAATACCAGATAGAGTTAATTATGACACAGAATAAACATTAAATTAAAAAATAAAAATCTTCATATTTCATTCTTCTTCATACCTTTGGATCTAACAATAATCTGAAAGCTTTTGGTGGAATTAACCTTTTCTTTTATACTCTCATTCAGTTTGATATGCAAAAAAGTATTAAAAATTCCAATAATATCCTGGATATGATCCTGGTATTTTATTGATATTTATGTTTTTAATTTATATTTTTAATTGTACCATTACTAGAGGAACTTTTTAATACTTTTTTGCATATTGAAGCAAACAAGAGTCACAAAAAAAGGCTAGTTCTGCCTAAGCCGTTGTGAGATTTATTTTTAATTCACATTGCATGGGAATTCAGCAAGGTATATACAAACATAAAATAATAGTTATCTTTTGTGATTCCTGTTAGAAATTGTATTACAGTAATTGCAACAAACAGTGATGAAAACTTGTAATGCATTAACACCTATCTTAAAGTTAAGAAGACAGATATAAGAGGTAGCTAGTGGAATTGAAGGGGGTTAATGTGATAGAAGTATCTCTAGTTCCAAAGAGAGGATCATGTTGATGTAGCATTCGATGGTATTGTAAAAACAGGGATACTGTATTTATTGCATATAAGGCAAGGTTTTTATTCATTTTTCACTGCTTCAAAAACCTAGGTCATCCTATACGCACAAGCAAAGGACTCTTTGCATTTTTGCAATAATTTTTGTGAACCAGATATAGTTCATGCTGCCATTATAACAGGCTGCTATCGAGGCCAAGGGGAATGTCTCTTTCAGAGAGACGGTCCAAAAATAGTTTTGAGTAAAGGAATGACTATTACTGACTCATTAAATACTGGTCTACAGTCTATTTATGGTAAATTGGCACCTACTATAAATAAACTAAGATACATCCCCCTTTGTTTATTGGTTTAACACTATGTCCATCAATTAGAAATCGTGTTGCATCTTATTCATCCACAGAAAATAGTTCCTTGTTATTTATAAAATCATTAATGAGATACTGGTCAATTAGCAATGATTATAAATGTAGTTATTTCATATTTGTTGCATTTCATCCCACGTTTAAAAGAGGAAATTTAGTCACCAATGTATACATTAAACCAGCACATAGCCCACTCTATATTTCATCTAATTTGAATGATCCTTATCAATACAAACTGGCAGCATTCCAGGCTCTCATTAGAAAAGCATATTTTTATCACAATAGTGTACATAACAGACTGAATGAATTTAACAGAAATATCAAAACCCTGGGATATAAAACTAGCATGATAACAGGAGTGATTAGAAGCTACTAAGGTAGCAGACCAAAAACTGAAAAAGCAGACTCAATACAATTGCAAAGTCTTTATTTTCTTATTTTTAATAAGAAAATGAAAGAAATGACAGACCATAAAGGCTCTAAACTAATTATCAAAAGAAAGCCCAATATTTACAGTAGAAATCAAAAGGTTCTGAAGAGGCGATAAAAGTGTGGTCCACGTTGATAGGATTAAATCATGCCTAACCAATATAATATAATCTATGTAGATCCAGGCAAACTCAGTTGTTCAAGAATAATGAGTGTGGGAGTGATGATGATGATCAACCATACATTCCTTATATCCCCTCATCACATTGTAGATCTTGGAGTGTGCCAACTCAAAGCAGCATTGAATAATAGGCCATTCCGATACTCATGGTCAATTCGTCCATAATTATAATCTCTTGAGTAGAAAAATAGACTTCCACTGCTTACACTACGGATGCTGACTTCTAGAGGGGGCTTGTGTGACAATCACTCATCACTTCTGTATATAAAATTATAAATTTTCAGTTACAAAACCTTGTTTATTGCCTTGAGATGCAATAATGGGCAATGGAACATTCTAGAAACTTATAAACAAAGGCATCATAACCGACAATTTAATTTTATATACGTAAGTGACAAGCAATTGTCACACCATGATAAATGACTAGCTGTCAACAATTGCACTTACAAGTATAACTAATGATATAACAATATTTTACATTCACAATTTACAAAATATTCACAATTCACAAAATACAGACTTATTAATACACTTTCTCTTAAAAAGGTAAATAAAATACTATAAAATTTTAAGTACGCTTTTGTTATTAAGTGTAATTACTGTTCAAACATTACATACATCTTTATCATTTCCCAAGTAGTCAACATTGGTACTCCTATACATGTAACACAGTAATAGTTGTTAATATTTATTTAATAGATTAGCTTTATGAAAGTTTCAATGTGTGATAACCCCTCATAAATAACTATTATTTATTAGCAAAAGATTGAATTTGGCAAAATGGAATTAGAAGCTTAATAATTAAATTGGTATATGTGCATTAGTGTATAATTAAATAAATGTGTCTCAGCAGCCAAAAGTGTTTATTGATGATTTTAGTAATTACTCTTTCTGATGAGTGTGGTTTCAATTTAAAATATTGCTGTTGTCAATGTTTGTAGCTTCTAAGTGAGAAGTTACAAATCAAATAATATCTTAGTATCTGAGTTAATTATTCTTTTATTTTTAATATCAATGATATTTATGCTTGTAAATTAAGATTAATTGATTAAATTTCAGATTTGTTCAGAAGACTTTTAATTTAGCATTAAATCATATCCAACCAGATGTAATTATTCTTTTGGGAGACAATTTGGATGAAGGTGAAATTGCATCAGATCAAAAATATAAAAAATATATCAATCGTTTTCTAAATATTTTTTCACAGCTGGATTTTAATAAGGTTTGTTGTTTTTGTTTTAATAATTTCATAATTATATATATTAAGTATTATAATTCATTGAATGTATTCACTGTTATATCAATTAAATATTATACAATATATGAAAATAAAATATCGTAAAAGNCTTGGGCCTGTGCCATCTGGGCCAATATTGTTGTATTAGACCCTTTTCTAGCATCATATTTGTGTTCTCTAATTCTTACCCCGAGGTTTCTGGTAGTAACTCCTACATAATCTTTTTTTATTCTTAATAGAAAGGATCATACAGTTAGCAGAAGCCTTAGGATATAAGAGAAATATTATAATGGGTATTGTTAAAAAATTTGAGAAGAATAATGATAAAATCTCCAGACAAGGTCCATCTAAGTACACAAAACTTACATTCAACAAATATTTAGGAGGAATTATGAAGGAAATTGCAAGCGTTAAAGATTCAACGGTGATTTTGAAAAGAGCTCCCAATTTATATAAAATTCTTAGAAACAATAAAGGGGTTATTAAAAAAAGAAGATAAGGCAGGTGTTTACAAGATTCCCTACAAGAACCAGCTATTAGGAATAAAAAAAGATTACGTAGGAGTTACTACCAGAAACCTCGGGGTAAGGATTAGAGAACACAAATATGATGCTAGAAAAGGGTCTAATACAACAATATTGGCCCAGATGACACAAGCCCAAGGATCCCTGGTTGGATGGGAGGAAGCGGAAGTCGTGAGACAAGTACACTCACCAACTTTGGCGAAGACGGTCGAAAAAATGGAGATATACAGGAGCAAACTTAAAGAAGGATGCATTAATGCTAGGTATGCGGAAGGTCTACCCTCGGCTTGGAAATTTGCCGTTAAAAAGCTTACAAGTAGCACATCAACTGAAATATGATATATATTTGATTTAAAGGAAACTTAGTAGCTTCTATTTAGCTATGATAGATCGTATTAATGTTTAGTCTTTGTAGTATATTATTTATTATTAGGTATCGTTTACAATTTATTTTTTATTCTTATTAAATGATATGTTATCAGTTTATTGATATTTTTGAATTTTTGAACTTATTGTTCCATTTATGATGTATTCCATTTTTGTATGTTCTAGCCTGATGATGATCCGTTAAGTGGATCGAAAACGTTCGTTTTTAATAAAACTCCCTCAGCAAACAATAAGGTGTTGGTTACGTTATTTGTTAATTTTGTAACTAATGTGATATAGATTTGTTTCCTGATATATATTTGAATAAATAATGAAAATATAAAAGGATGAACCAACTGTTCATGCTTTACCCCCTTCCAATTTTGTTGAAACTGCACTTTAAGATAGTTGGGGCTTTGAACTAAGATCTGCAAAATATTAGATTTGAATGTTATGAATGAAAATTTTGTGGTTCTTAAGATAGAAGCCTTAATTTGTAGGTCACTCCACTTTCGTCCATATGTATGATGCACAAATGGTCAACTCTGTCCTATTATGTGTTATTGAAGTAAGCATGCAATTTTTAATTTGCTAAGTTAAATTCACAGCAAGAAGTTATCCTAATTATGTTATTCACATTTTTCATCCTAAACTGGGGTATCCACGTAAGTGATTTCAATGTGCCAAGCCAGAACATAATCATGTGACTACCATGCAAATTGCACTACTAAAACTACTATTTCATTTTTATGCTTTCTGGCAGAAAGAATTAGAATAAATCCAAGATGGATGATGATGACACAATCATCTTAGCAACATACAGGAAAATAATTCTGTGGAAAACAAAAACAATAATTTTTTATCCGTATACCTTTCTACCCTTCTACGAAAAATTTCTGAAAATTGCAAACTTCTATTAATTTCTCAGTTGTTGCATTCATCTACCTAGCTGTATTGTAGAAAATAGTGTAAAACCATATGGTTTTTGTACACGTTTTTCATCACACTCCAAGAAGGAGGAAAAATCGAAGTCTGGTGCAAGGTGATCCTAGATGGAGGACAGAGTAGTCAAATGCCTGACAATCCGACAAAAAGCTGGACGTATTATATTATATTATTAACTGTCCAAAACTTGTAAAAAATAAAATTAAAATAGAATAACTCAGGATCTATTCATTATCAAAACCTATCTTAGTTAATTATAGTCTTATCAGTCTGCTATTAATGAAATTATTATTTAATCAATTTAAATATATTAAAACTATTAAAGTTGATTTTGATGTTGTTATTAAATTATGATTTAATGTTTAAATACAAAAACTCCATTACATTGTATTTTAAAAATAATCAATTTTTTTAATAGGTTATAATTATACCAGGTGACAATGATATAGGAGGAGAAAATGGGGATGCTCTTTCTGATAAGATAGATAGATTTGATTCTTACTTTAAGAAGGATGTGTTTTTAAATGTAAAGTTTGCTGAATTTGTTAAGGTAACATGAATTATAATTATTATTTTTTCAAATACAGCAGAGTTTTGTTTTACATAGGATTGATGTACATGGTCTGTGTTAGTGCAGATAGCAAATTGTTAGGTTAACTCACTCATAGTGTCATCAAGTCCTACTCTTAATTTTAGCAAATTTCAACAGAGAACTAATGAATGCTGTTCATTATGATTAATATCTTTATTTGCATGTAGTTTTCTCAAGTAGTGTTCTTGATATGGTGTAAAATTTTGCTCTATATATGTTAAGTAAAATTTTGGTCTGATATTTCTGATTATAGCTAAAACATAAGTAAAGCCTTTAAAATGCATTGTAACATTTTTTTCTTGACCATAAATGGTTGCACAAGTGTGTAGGAAATTGTCTGAGATTACTCGGGGTGGAGCATAAATTTATGCAGAATTTTATTTTACTTAGTACCTGCTGACATGCAACCCCTATGTAAAACAAGACCATGCTGTATTAATTAATACATTTTGTAAGGATTAAAAAGTTTTTATGTTGATAAATAAGGGTATAACTTGTATAACACAAAATAATATAATAAGCTTTTTATATTAATTAATATAAAAGGCTTATAATGTTAAAAAGTAACAACAGAAACTGGATGGGATTAGTATAAACAAGCACAGGAAACCATTAATCCAGTATGAAAGTAACAATGTATTACTAAAATATTTTTGATAATTCTGTTTTATCTATAATACCCAAAGACCTGAAGATGGTTATAAAGATGATCAAAAACATTTGTTTTAGTAAATAAACAATAAATTCTTACTGGAACTAAAACGACATATAAAATAATATAAATAACACCTTTTTAACGGTCCAGCAATGATTTGAATAACCCACAAGCGATTTTTCCATTGTCTGTATAATCGCAGTTTGATTTTATTTATTTTGTATTGCATAAATTCAAATGCTTTGTCCTTTTTTTAATATTAGAATAATTGATGAAGACCGCTAAAATCGGTCAAAAACGTTTTTATAGAATTAAATGTTTTTGCTGGGCCGTTAAAAAGGTGTTATTTATATTATTTGTTTTAGTAGTAAATTGTTACTTACATACTGTATTACTGATTTTTTTTCATGCTTGTTAATTAATGTATAACACAAAACAGCATTGTAAGTACAGTAGAGCGTCGATTTTCCGAATCAATTGGGGACTGGGGTTGTTCGTATAACTGATATTTCGGATAACCAATTACGTACGAAAAAATAGTTTAACGTATCCGACGTCGAAATTTTTCTCCGTTGCATGTCGCTTCGCATTGAGTTTTCGTCGATGTTAAGCCTAACAAACACTATTGTATCGTTAAAAATTATTTTTTTATTTTGTACAAACAAAATAAATATATTGAAAAATATAAAAACAATAAAAAATTATACTTCAGATGTTAATTTAGTATCAAAAACATAAAGTATTTGAGTAGCTCAAGACATAGCCAAAGATTACAGTGCCACAGCACTGGCGAAAATTTAAATTTGCCGACTGGAATTCTNTGTTAATTTATTATCAAAAACATAAAGTATTTGAGTAGCTCAAGACATAGCCAAAGATTACAGTGCCACAGCACTGGCGAAAATTTAAATTTGCCGACTGGAATTCTTTCAGATGATTGACTTTTGGAAAATCGACGCTCTACTGCATTAAGTTATAAATTTGTTCAATCAATCAATCAATCATTTTTATTAGGTGCTCGAGGCACATACCCAGCACCGCAAGAGCACAGCTGAGAAAAATTATATACATTTTACAATAGTACATATTAACAGTGTATACAAAACTGTCAGTTAAATACAAAATATTACAGAGAGAATAATTAATACATTAATAACATTAATACAGAATAACAATGAAATATTATTACAGAATATCAATGTATACAGAGTTATCAGATGTAGAACTTAATAACTAACATGAGAAAAATAAACTTAATAACTAAAATTAAAGCTAAGAGAGAGTTCAATGGAATAATATAGAGGAAAAATGTGCAGAGCAAAACACCAGGAATAACTCCATATTCTCTTGAAATAAGTCCGTTATGGAGGAACCACAAAACTCCTTGGAGTAAACCTGTCCATAAGGATCTCCAAGACACCTAGAGTACATGAGTACTTACCGAACACAAAAATGCACTTGCAGAACAAGAATTAGACGAGGTCAAAAGTATTTCACGTGTGGATTGATTCATGGTAACTTATGCAGTAATTGATTAAAGCAAGAACAAAAATAATCAGGAGTCAGTTTATCAAAATTTTCATTGATTCCATCAGATTTATCAGGTTGGATGGTGTGAAGTTCAGAAGAAACAGTAGTAAGCTATTCTCTGATAGCAGTTGGTGCAATAATAGCATGCTGTTTGACTAGTCTGTAAAATGATTTGAAGATCTCGTTACTCATTAACAGCTCTTCATGTTTACATGGCTAGTTTAAGTTGTAATTTTTAACAGTAAGTTCTAAGGCCAGGGGTTCAGCTTCCAATGAGATACATTCAAAAAGATAATGATCAACACCATCAGGCTGATTACAGATGGAACAGAAAGAAGTTTGTTTACCAGTGAACCTTTGTAAGTAGATAGAAAACCTACCATGGCTGGTAAGAAATTGAGTAATATGTGGGCTGAGAAAGGTCCATTTATGCTTCTTGAGGTAATCTGTAATGCAGGGTATAAATTTGTAGGTTACGACATTATGGTTTTGGTCCCAAGTGTGCTGCCAACGATTTATGAGGTCGTCGCATAGTAATTTTTTAGTTGTTCTATGACTGATCTTGTTATATATAATATCAGACAGTGTATCAGTCGCAGCTTCTTTTGTAAGTTGATCAGCTCTTTCATTACCAGCTATCCCATGGTGACCACGTATCCAAGTAATACATGTTATTGGAATTGAAAATGAGAGTACGTATGTCTGTTGCAATAGGGTGCAATTTTCTGCTATGAATGAGTTCTACAGCAGAAAAAGAGTCACTTACAACGTGAATAATTTTATGGTTACAAAAAGTTCAGACCAGAGAATTGCCAGGTGAATTCCCTGCATTTCAGCCTGAAAAACCGTGCAGGTGTCATCAAGTCTACCCTTCTGATAGAAGATTTCCTCATTGTTACAATATGCAACAAAAGCACAACCAATGTGATTATTAACGCCAGAGCCATCAGAATAGATTTTAATGTCAGAAACAACAGGTGGGTCAGAACCAATAAAATGATCAATATAGGGTGGTAGACTTGATGTTATGGGACTAGTTTGTTCATAGTTACTTGCAGAGAGTTGACAGGTTGGAGTATTAATGTCAGTCCCTGTTCTAAGTTGGTGAAGTTGGTATTCCAGTTTAATGACTTCAGTAATTGGAGGTTTCCCAGCAAGTATTTGTAAGCCATTGTGAGGGGCAGTCCTATATGCCTTGGTGATTAGAAGAAGGGCTTTTCGTTGTGACGATAGAAGCTTTCTTTGCAGATAAACTTTTGACACTGCGTTTCCCTAAGAGCAGCAGCCGTAAGTTATAATTGGCACATAGATCTGATTATAGATGATACTGATGGCTGCAGAGCTTAGTCCCCAAGATTTCCGTGCAACAGAAGAAAAGGCTTGAAAAATTAGACTCGTTCTTCTGGCTATGTATTTAACATGAGCATCCCATCCAAGTCTGAAATCTAACCATATGCCAAGATATTTAATACTTTCTTTAATTGCAATTGTTTGCCCATTTATTTTTATTAGTGATACATGTCGATAGAGATTAGGACTGTAAGGTTTGTTAAAAACAATTTCCATAGTTTTATTCGGATTAAATTGTAATTTATGATCTAGTCCCCATTTGTGGATTTTACTTAGGATCTCATTGCCCTGATTTTCAAGCATAGCTCGAGATCGTCCACCAATCAATATTAATACATCATCAGCATATGCAGTAGTTTTATCTTGGCCGAAAGATTCCTGCAAGAAGGCATCGAATGTAAGATTTCATAAAAGCAGTCCACAGACTGAACCATGTGGACATCCTTGAGTGATTACACATTCAATGGAGTAAGAGCCTTGCATTAATATTGCCTTGCGGTTTGCTAAATAATTAACAAAGAGTCTATATAGATCAGCAGGACAGCCAGTTTGTCTGATTTGATATAATGTAAAAGGCCACCAAGCAGTGTCGAACGCTTTAGATATATCTAAACTGATGCCCAAGATGTATTTATTTTGTTCGCGAAGGTTTTTGATGTTAGCAACGACTTGATTGATTGCATCATTGGTGGATCTTTGTTGTCGAAAACCAAATTGTAAGTTACTAAGGAAAGAATTATGTTCAACAATCCAAGTCAAGCGGTCAGCCATTAGTCGTTCTAAAACTTTACCAAATATTGGCAGCAAAGAGATCGGTCAAAAATCATTAGAAGTACCAGACTTAGGGATAGGGACTATTTTCGCAGTTTTCCATTTAAATGGAAAAATACCCGCAATTAGGCAGGTATTGTACACAAGTACTAGATGCTGTGGTATAATTTGCCATATATGTTTAGCGATTTTGGCATTAATGCCATCAATACCAGGCATCTTGTTCGCTTTTAGTTTGTTAAAAACGTTAATTTCATGATAAGTAAAAGCAGGAGAGTTATCGGTATTAACAATAGTATTGACATCTTCTCTTAAAGATGTCTGGTATGGAGTATCTTCATCCGTGGGATCAGCTATACAGAAGGTATCAAACTGTTTGTTTAGAGTATCATGAAAATTACTGTTGAGAGTATCATTACCCGCACTAATGAGTATTTGCTGTTTCCGAAGTTTGTTCATGCATAATTTCGTAAGATACCCCCAATGGTTTTTAGAGGCATTAGTACAATATTCATGCCATGATTTAATTTTGACACATTTTATTTATTTTTTATATATAGCCTGATGATTATAGTATTGCTGTTTTAGTTGATTATGCTCACATTCAATTCTACAGGTTTGGTATTTCCATTTCAGGGCATTGTTAATTTTA